TTAAAAGGTTACTTAAAACATACTTAATTTTGTTCATTATTAAAAAAGGTATGTTTTAAGCACATTTTAAGCACCTTAAAGTAGATTTTAAGCATGTTTTAAATACATTTTAAGCACCCAAACTTTTTGTAGGGACTCCAACGACCTTTTTCATCAATCACTATTCCATGAGCCAACTTATTTCTTACATTCTTTTTAAAATGAATTAATAACTCAGTGGGATTAGCCTTATATTGACCATGGAATACAGATTCTTTTAAGAAAATGTTGATGTTTTCTAGGATAAAGTTTAGCATGCATAGTAGATCTGCATTAGAAAAATCTCTACTAACAGGAGAACGTTGTTTAGCCATGAATGCTTTAACAGTTTCTAAAGGAATAATACGTTTGTTTTTAACAAGAAAATTATAAACTGCTTTCTCAGCAAGGTTAATGAAAGGCTCTATAACTGCACCTTGCTCGCTGTCAGTAAAAGAAAATGATTGTTTAACTCGTGGAGAAGAATTGCAAGCAGAACCATTATCATTGTCATTGTAATTGTTAGTGATGGTTGCATGTTGCCCAACAGCAGATGAATGAAACCGCGTTTTTTTAAAAACCACAAAAGGTTTTGAGTGTTTCGACTGTTTTGGTTGTTGAGACAAGGAAGTCGAGGAAGTTGACAATTTTTTATCTTCAAGCCAGCCAGACAACATGATATGTGCTGGTGATTTTTGATGAAAGACCCGATCACTATACAAAAGATCATGAAGTGAATCATATATAGACCTGCGAGAACTTCTCAACAGACAGACATCATATAGAGCATCCAAAGTAGAGTCAAGAGTATTTTTAATGTTCTTTTCGACCACTCCAGAACGTATCCACATCAAAAGTTGTCTTTACCCATAATAATAATGAAACATGACATGTAAAGTGAAATTTTTTTTAAAAAAAAAAAATAACGATGACATTCATATGATTTGCTTGATTAAGTTACACGAATCTTGTGATTGCAACTGAAAACTGAAATCTAGTCATGCGACTTACGATCCTCCCAGTTGACTTGCAACACTAATATAATTTCTTTTACTTTACAATTAATTTTGAAACAAAACAAACATGCATGTCAATTCAAAATTCTCTCAGTAATAGAAAATGTTTGAATCAACCAATTAACTAATAAATAAGTTTACTAAATAATCAAAGATCTACTCGGACACATTACAAATTATTTATGATGAATGGAAAAACAGAATTGAAAATGTAAGGAGCAATTTTTTCACCTTGTTCTTTCTTTAAAATACTTCTGATGGTACTATAATTCTTGGGTTCCATAGTAGATCTGATGTAAATGAGTTTCATATTAACTATTTTTATCTAGACAAAATATCATGATCACATTACATTGGTAATACAATTGTGATGATCTGGTTTTGTTGTGGTATGCCCCATATTTATATCCAATAAAAATTTTGGCATTACAGTAACTATATCTCGTGACACGTAAATCCAAAACATTTACCACAAAAGCGAAATGAACAATAGCTACCAAGTTTTTAACAGAAGAAGATATATCACAAGTATCATTGACAAAGCAAATACAACAAAGTTAGATAATAATTGACTTTCAAGGTGATCCACATGTATTATTTTATACCAAACCCAATATTTGAAAATAGAAATATACTAATAGAAATGCGTGTACAAGAAAATTATTCCATAATTTCAAATCAATTCATCTATCATACTGATAACAAGGCAATACATATTTACAGTACTCTTTTTTAATATCTTAGTTGAAGCAAACTCTGAAAAAGCCAAGCTCGAGCCAAGAAATAATTGATGTGCATAATTTTTTAATTTTTTAACATATATAAAAGATTGCTCGACTCCCGTAACACTGCTTTTTCCCTTACTTGGAATAGATTGTATAAATTTGG